TTATGTAAATATGGCTGCAAATCTTTGCTTTAATATTGTTGTGAGATATCACAGCATTCTGGACCAACACGCCCAAGGACACCCTTCCACAGTCCTGCTGGCTGTGTTATTGGCCGTGGTGAAATGGAACAGCAACTTCCCATAATACTCACTGCTCCGGATAATGCAAAACAGTGCTGTAACCACGTAAGACGGCTCGCAACAGCAAATTTGTGCAAAACACAAAAGTTATTTTCTCAAATACTGATCTTTTTTTGTCACGTGCGCCCATTACCTACCTGCAGATGCACTTACTGACCCATGAGTTTCCATCTTTTAGGAAATCTGCTTTTAGAAGCAAGGCCGAGTATAAATAAATTGTTATTTTCACTGTGGAAGGAGGGATGGGTCATTGAGAGTTTAGGTTTGAAAATGAAGTGACCCTTGCTGCTCGGAGCCAAATGGACAGCGGAATTATCTTCGTCTTTGTGTGTTGCCACTTCAACCCCCGTATAGATGGCAAGACAACTAATGAGACCACCTGTCAGCGCTGTCAGAAAACTTTTGCACAGGCTGAAGTGTAGTATTTACCAGGCGAGGGGGGAATCACGCATGAGTGCAAACATCTTTGAAGTGTCAAGCTTTGGAGGGATAATAAGGCAGGTATGTTGCATTGTGTACCGCTGTGTATAAACTGTGTTTTTACAGTTTTCTGTCACTTTTTTTTTTTAAAGCGATGTGCTGACATGATTTTTTTTCTTTCTGTATAGGTGGGAAAGCCTGTCAATATTTGTGCGTGTGTGTCACATCTCCTATACCTTTAACACAGTTAAAGAGGACCCTGTCGCAGAACAGCAAAGAGGGCAGAAAAAGAGGAAAAGAAAGCGCTAACGTTTGATTTTTATTTTAACAACACGACATAAAGTGCATCTGAGCCAAAGACCCAAAACCTGAACAAGAAATGAACTAGAAAAAAACCTGAACCGGGAAGAGAACTAGTGACACACACATCTGTGAACAGATTAAGAAACTGTGGAGAAGTTAAGAAACCAGAGCTTAAGTACTGAGGAGAGTGATTGGTGAGTGGAGATAGAAGAGGATGATGAGGTGAAGGGAGTGGAGCTGACTCAGAATCAAGAAGCAGGAAGGGTATAGAAGCAAGAGAAAGAAACTAAAGGTTAAGGCACAAGAATAAAAAATCCAAACTACTGAGACATCTACAGGAAGAAACAACAAACTACTGTATAACATTACATCATAACATTAGCAAAAACTAAAGATTCTTCATTTAATTTGTTTGGAAATTCAACTCCAGTGATCTCAGTTAACGTTTCAAAGATCGTCATGTCGTTTTAAATGGCCTGCCAAGTAAAGTGCTGACACTACTATGCAAATTCCCCAAACAAAGGTCCCGTCTTTAAAAAGCAGGCTTCAGTCACAGTTGTCAATCATGGCAACAAAGACAGTTTTTTATGACTGTTTTCTAAAACAGGCATAGCAGCGAAATATGTCACACTTAAATGTGGTAAATAGGTCTTAACATGTCAGAATGATGATTTATGAAGATTTCAATGCTTTATTTGTATGATGTAGCACCAGGCTGGGCTCCAGAATTGCAAATGGAAAATGCTGTGATCGTAACTGTAGCCATGCTTTAACAAATTGTTCAGAATGGGTTGATATGGTTAAAGATTTTTATAAAAATGCATTGAGGTCTCTTTGAAATGTTACGTCATCTATTGCTCTAAATTGACTGTACCTTTCCGTATTAATGCTGCTCCATAGCAGATGTAGACATTAGCTTTCCCAAGGTCATTGATACAGCCCATTACCATTACCGGCCCTGTATGGAACAAGGTCTATATGGTCATTTTAGATATTAATGAATTTCTTGATGCAGTTCTGTCAAAAGGGATCAGAGGTCAGATTGTCGTATTGTTCTTTTCCTTTAAATTTGGGTAAAAAAAACACATTTTGTGTTCCAGATTAAAAAGAATGCAAATCCTTTCCGGTTAGTACTATTACTGCACAATTTGTGTTCTTGCGTGAACGTTTCCATCAGTAAACAATCTCCATTTTTATTCTTCTTCAGAATATTGTTCAGTTGATTGACTCAATACATGGACACATTAATATTCAGCAGATATTTTCATTTGTCATACTTTTGTTTAGCCTTTAACTGTTTGATCATTTGATCTTTTTTTTTACTTGCACCATTTGGGGCTCCGCTAACGACGTTACACACCCTGCATGAGATCAAATATGACTTAAAGAACCATCTGGAAAAGTTAGAAAGGTGTGTAATTATTATCATTCTATTTTTAGCAGGGATACGGCAGTCGGAAATATTCGGCATTTAATTGTTGGATTGTTTTCCTGCAGGTGGTCCATTTAGGAGGAATGAGAGATGGTTTTAGTCTTAATAAGCCTATGTGATATTTGGCATTCGGTTTCATTGTTATGATGGGTATGTTTCTTAACCTTCAGACTGTGTATTGGTCCAAAGGATCCCTACTTAGCTTTCCCTTGGTACAACTTGGCATGTACTTGTGATTAGAAAAAGCAAAAAGTAGAACAACTTTTGGCAATATATATAATGTGATGTCCATTAGGAGATTGATTCTTAACCCAAAGTAAGAAGACAAGTGAGCGGCTGAGGAGGCTTGGCGAATGCTTGGGAGGGAACGTCTTTAGAAAGGGAGAAAAACATCTTTCCTGTTTTCACATCAATACAAACTGCATTATCTCATCTGTTGCTCCCCCTTCATCTACCCACGCCATGCCCCTCGTCCCTCCAAAGTGACTTAACATCTTCTGTCATCTGTCAATCAAGCAGAGACAGACTGTGACCTTGCTCGGCATTGTTAGAAACAATTCCGATCGTCCTTGCATTTTCAAGTTTTCGTCCTCTGCCGTTTTCCCTGGCAATCGTCCTGTAAAGGAGCCACCGTGCCTAATAAAATTGGATTGATCGGAGGTCGGAAACATTGGCTTGGTTGGTTCAGGGTCTGAGCATTTGCACCAGAGATGTTGTTCAGGGTGATAATATTCAGTTGGCACTTCAGATTCAATTAGGCTTTTCATCTCGCAGCCCTGATTTGTCAATATTTGAGTACATGTGACATGCAGGCACTTTTCACTGACAAATAGAGATCCAGAAGTTTTCATGGGTCATGAATACTTTTTTCCGCCGTGTTAATATGACTATAAATGCTCTTTAATGTGTTAACAAAATTAGCCACTGATATTGCAGCTGGGGGTATCTGCTAAATATTCAGGACTCCTACACAAGGTTAGATAAATACCAATGCTATATGTAAGATATTAGAAGAACCAGTTTTTACTAATTGCTGGATTAGTGATGAACAAAATACGTTTTTATCATAACAGGGATCTTTTATGCTAAGCCTCAAATGAAATGTAACTGGATATACACAAAGCCTACAGGAATGTTTGTTCTTCTTAATATCATTTCACTGAGATGGGAAGTTAAGGGGGTGGAGGATTTATATCATTTTTAATTGTTGTATACAGTCAATATGTCAGGGCTGGTGTAATACAGAAGTCAGTTCCCACAAACACTAAATTCCAGTTTCAGGAAGCCACTTTTATTCGGTTTGTTTCTTTAATTTCATTGTTGGAATTTCAAGGAAACAAGGGAGACTTTGGCGGCTAACATTGTAAGACATGTGCCGAGGAGATGAAGAGAAGTAGTCAGTGGGTTTCAAGAAATTGTGCAGCAGGGAAGTCTCCTCTGCAAAAATCTTTGTGGATGTGTGCTGCATGTGGCAGGAAGGTAGCACACACTGATGTTGTTCCTCCTCAGGAGACAGGGAATTGTCACAATCTGCACTTCAGTCACCACCCCTCCAACCCCCACTGTTTCAGCCCGGCATCTTTTTTTGTTTTTTGGAAGAGAGTATTTTCCCGAAAATAAAATTGTAGTCCCCTTTGAGGTGGCTGTTTCTCCCACATGTTTTTTTTTTTTTTGCTTGGGCG